TAAATATTTTAAAATTTAAAAAGGAAATAAAACATTTAACGGGTGTTAAAATCAGAACGCATGTTTTTAACATAATGTATGTTATTGGCAATTATTTAAGTTCATTATATAGGATCTCGTTCTGTTCTTCTACACTGTAGAAAAAAGAAACAACCCATTACAACCCATTGCTGTTCATTTATTGATTTTAAAAGTATCGGAAACATTTTTTTAACAAATTGCTTTTCCAACACAAAACTTCATGTTGCCAGTCGCTTGTACAGTTACTTGTATGAAAAATGTTCTTGAACTGTTTAGTCAATACTTTTAGATTCAGTCTTAAAAATAACCATTGCCTAAACAACCAATGAACCGTTTTTCTTTTAGATAACATCTTTTTAACGCATAAAGTGAGATCGAGTATGCTCCTGGTATAGGCGTATAGATGACGATCCCGATGAATATATAGCAGGTACCACAATCTGCAGTCTTAATTGCACGAGATGAATTAAGATTATCATTATCATTGTCATTGTCGTCATATAACTATTTCTCTTTACTACTCTGCTTTTCTCAATCTAGACTGCTTCGAAAGTTGGGTCGAAAAGAACTGTAAAATAAAAAAACCCAAACATCCCTAGCTAAAAAATTCAACTTCGACTCACTGTCTTAAGAGCAAACTCCGAACTCCTGCGTGTTTGCCTTGCCTATCCCTAACCCACCTGCGCTGATGCATAGCACAAAAGAGTTTGAAAACAACCATTGATACTTAAAGTATGAAGAGGTGACGGGTGGCGGTGAAAAGGTATAATGCCCTTCTTGACAAAAAAATCTGCCGTTAGTTTTTTAACAATTTTTTTGCTGCCAAACGATTGGCTCAAAGGACAAAAGAAGACAAGACGGATAAGAGAAGGATGTATATCTTTTTTTTTTAATGTAACATCGTCTTATATTTTCGGGCATAGCTGTTCCCTCATTTTACCCCACATATAGATGGTTTGCAGAGCCCAGCAACTCCCCAATTTCGAGGGGGGGGGGGGGCTATCGATCGAATTTGTAGGGCCTCTAGTTGGCATCAAATCTTTGGGGTTATTTTCGGATGTGAGAAGGTTATGGCTATGCCAGAATTAGTGTTCAGATGCTGATTTTTAACGTCTTGCTTATTAAGATTATGTCTATTCGTGTTTGAAAACAGCATTTTCTTTTATGCTTCCTGACAGAACGGGGTGCGTGTATAATAATCATGTTTTTTTTAAACTTCTATTTGTCTGTTTACTTTGATAAAGTGGCTTTGGTAGTTTCTTGAGCAGGGGCCCACTTTTCCCCCTTATAGCGTGGAAGGCTTCTCTAAATTACTTGTCAGGACTTATAAATAGAAAATGTGTTGCTCATCCAGAATTAAAAACGTGTATTTTTATGGCTCTTGTGTCGATGTGTGTTTGTGTTTGTGTGTGTGTGAATGTGTGTGTGTGCGTGTGTGTGCGCGTGTGTGTGTGCGTGTGCGTGTGTGTGTGCGCGTGTGTGTGTGTGTGTGTG